GCAGAGAGGCAGGTGGACAGGGAGACAGACACAGAGGCAGAAACAAGGAGACAGACAAGCAGGCAGACACATAGGCAGACACACAGGCACGTAGGCTCTGACACTTTTTTTTTTTTTTTTTCCTTTCAAAGCCCAGGACCAAGCTCCAGCCCATGTCCAGTCCCACACGTTGACCTGGCGCTGGTCTGCGCCCCCAGCCCCGATGACCTGGCGGTGGTCCAAGCTTCAACCCATGTCCCGTCCCACACACAGGGAGACAGGCAGGAAGATAGGCAGGCAGGCTGGCAGACAGGCACGTAGGCAGAGAGGCAGGCAGACAGGCAGACAGAATCATAGGCAGACAGGAGGACAGACGTGTTTGTCTGCCTATCGATCTGTCTTCCTCCGGGTTTGCCTATGTGTCTCTATGTCTGTGTTTGTGTGTGTCTGTGAGGCAAGCACGCAGACAGGCATGCCGACAAAGAGGCAGGCAGACAGGCATGCAAGCAGAGAGGCAGGCAGACAGGAAGCCAGGCACGCAGACAGAGAGGCAGGCAGACAGGTAGACGGACACGTAGACAGACATGCAGGCAGACACACAGACAGACACGCAGACAGGCACGCAGGCTCTCTCCCTTTTTTTTTTTTTTCCCCTTTCAAAGCGGAGTTCCAAGTCCTAACCCATCCCCTGTCGCACACGTTGACCTGGTGCTAAGTAACCTAAGTTCAAAACAAATTTTACTTCGTAACAGAGATTTAAGTTCTAGCAGATTTCTCTCCTCGCCCTTTCTCTTGCTTTTTTTCTTTTTTTTTTTTGTCATTTTTTTAATTCGTGCATTAAATTCGAACTTCGTAGCCAGTTCTCGGCTATTCTTTATTGCCCTGTGATTCCTTTATTTATTTTTTTTCAAGTCTGTCTCAGTTTATGCGAATGGTCCGTATCAGGTTGCCTACAACATTTCTTATTTTTGCGGGCATGGCCCGCACCGCGGACGCTTACCTTGCTTTCAAAGCACAAATCCAAGTTCTAGCCCGTCCCCAGTCTCACACGTTGACCTTGCGCTGGTGTGCGTCTGCACCCCTGTTGACCTGGGTCTGCACCCGACGTTGTTTTCAGGTTTATGTAGGGTCGGACTTGGGGCTTGGACCTATGGTTGGACCTATGGACGCACAGAGGTAGGACCTGGGTCTGCGTGTGGGGTTGTTTGGATGTCGACTTAGCCGTGGCTTGCAGGCAGGCAGGCAGGCAGGCAGGCTGTAAGTCTGTCTATTTGTCAGGCCTAGATCGGGGAGACAGGCTCGAGATAGGTCCGGGACACAAGGTCTCCTTGGTCGCAGGCCCAAGGGTTGTATCGTGGGCCTGAATCTGGTGCAGGTCCACAGACTGTTGGATGGATGAGGGTAGACGACTGTGGAGTAAAAGCAAGCCTCATGCTGAAAGGTGCGTAGCGATCATGTAGTCATATAAGGACTCAATAATCGATACGGGTCGTTGATGATGCGGATCCACCAATATGCACGCAAACCTAGGCAACGTCGTGGTGCACATCCTACCATATGTCGTCTACTTGTGGACATTGCTTTCTAAGGGTTAGGATGTCATCTATGTTGCACTTGGCATATTCTTCATTCTTCATGGTGGTTCGCGCAGATGGTCAAGCGTTCGCTCAGCATAACAACGCGGTCAGGACAAATGGACGGAGAGCGGGTGCGGGATCATCGCGCTCTGATGTGTCGATGCATATCGATCAAGCAGATGATTTAGATGTTTCGTACGGTCATTACCTTTATGATGATCGCAGAATGCATGAGTACGTCGAAGATTGTGAACAGTATGAGTATACTATGTCGAGGGAGATGCATGATATAAAACAGTGTCGCCATCAATCGAATGCTCTGGTGTGGTATGGTGTGGTGGGTAAGGTTCCAAATGATCATGCCTTGAGGGAAGTATTTGGTAGGTTCGTTACGGACAACCAAAGACTTCGTTGGACTCAGGATGAGTTGTTGGATATGTTGAAGAAGGAGGTGAAACTGGATGCAGTTAATAGTGCGTTAGCCAGCATTGAGTTCAACGCAAAGTCAGTCATCGAAAGATTCCTTCAAGAGGAATGAAACGATGAGGTGAGAGATTCCTCTGTGCCCGATAGTGTGCATGTCAAAGAGGAGCCAAAACTTGACATGGATATGGAGATGCGGATTCGTTGTCGGATGAGGTCGAAGATTCGAGATGATTTGATTGATGAGATTGTTAAGTGTAGCATCCAAGTTCATCCCCACTTGCTGGAAGAGTGTGATGGTTTGCGTCGACGACTTGAAAATGCCGAATGTGCAGTGAGGAGATTGTTGTTGTATGTCGTGGCCTGGTGTGGGAAGATCCATCTTCTCGAAATGCAGTCTTCGATTTTCCATCGACTGAAAGTTTGGAGGCTCTTCCGAAAAGCGATTTGATTGCGATGTTGCATTCACTTCGAACTGTTGGTTCTCAGTTGACGCATAAAAATGCAATGTTGGAGGTGCAGAATGTCATGCAGTTCCCTGTGAGCGACAACCAGATGAGGGCAATGGTGGTCAATCTTGGTCAATTGTATAAGAAGGCACGCGAAGAGTTGATGGATGCTGTATTTGTGGACAAATTCGGTGACCAGTTGGGATATGAATCCAAGTTTTATTGGGCTCAACATCACAATGAGCAGGTGTATCAGCTCAGGAAATTGCTTGGCCCGTGTAACCCCCCGTACGTATACGGCCCGTCCATACGGCGCATACAACCGTACGTACGGGCCCCCGGGCGTTCGTACGGCCCGTACGTACGGCCATACGAGGCATTTCGGGGGCCTTC